GTTTCTTATGAGAAAATTGGTTCCGAGTTACAACATTTCGACTTAAGATGAGGTTTTCAGGAATGAATTGTGTTGCAAGTCTGAGCACTACCTGTACTTTTATGAAATTAAATACAAATCAAAACAAGTTTCTTTTGAATGGGAGTCCAATTAAAGGAACATAGTCATCACACTGGCCTATTGTCTGGTTGATTCCCTCTCTTAAGAATAGACTTTGAATGCTTGATGCTTTATTTTTTTCTCCAGGACTTCACCATTGAATTTCTTTTTATAAGAGCTGCTGATTATAGCCATGTCCATTTATGAAGGGCATATAATCTTTGGTGCAATCCCACCAAGCATCAGCTACCAAACCATTAAGTCAGGCTGTACAAGGAAACAAACTTCTACCCCACCCCAAGGATGGGGCTCTTCCAGGAGTACAGGGAAACCTAGAACTGTCAATGGCAAGCTCACTTGCCTTTACACAAATGCCAGGAGTGTGGGCAACAAACAGGAGGAGTTGGCCCTACTCCTAAACAGTACTGATTACAATCTCATAGGGATAATGGAGACATGGTGGGACTCTACCTATGACTGGACCACAGGTATAGATGGCTGTACTTTGTACAGGAAAGTTCGTGTAGCAAGAAGGGGTGGGGGTGTAGTTCTCTATGTGAAAGAACAATACACTTCCCTACAGGCGGAGATTGGCAACCAAGAAGGGCAACTTGAGGCCCTCTGGGTAAGAATACAGGGCAAACATGGTGAAGGGGATATAATGGTAGGAGTCTACTACAGACCTCCTAATCAAGAGCAAGAACTTGACCATGAGTTTTCCAGGGAACTGGCTGAGGCTGCACACTCTCAGTCCATGGTTTTTATGTGCGACTAACTTCCTGGACATCTGGACATCTCATGGGAAGAGCACTGAGCCAAATCTGATTGGTCACAGTGCTTCCTCACATGCACTGACAAGCTTTATTTGTCTCAAGAAGTCCATGGACCGACAAGGGGAAAGGCGCTGCTGGACCTAGTACTGGCCAAAGGGGATGATCTAGTCAGCAACCTGAGAATCGAGGTGAAGCTGGGAGACAGTGACCATGATTTGTTAACTTTCTCTATTCACTGCAAAGCTGGAAAGTCAGTCAGCAATACGAAAATCCTTGACTTTAGAAAGGCCAACTTCCACAAGCTCAGGAGGGTAGTTTCTCAGGCCCTGAGAAACCACAGTCTGGCAGGGAGGAATGTCCATGATGAATGGTCACTCCTCAAGGATGTAATCCTTGAAACACAAGGGAAGTCCATTCCAACCCACAGAAAAAGTAGCAAAAGGGCTAGACGACCCCCTTGGCTCAATAGGGAACTCAAGGACCCCTTGCACCTTAAAAAAAAAAAAAAAAAAGAAGAAGAAGAAACTTATAAAGGATGGAAGATGGGAAACATCACAAAGGAGGAGTACTCAGCACTAGCCCACACCTGTAGGGAGCAGACTAAGAAACCCAAGGCTGAAACGGAACTCAAACTCGTTAGGCAAATTAAGGACAACAAAAAGTCCTTCAGATATGTTGAAAGTTGGAAAAAGGTAACATTGGACCCTTACTAAATCAGGTCGGGCAGCTGCTAACTGACACAGGAAAAAGCCAGTTTTCTTAATGACTATTTCACGTCGGTCTTCCATCAGCCCAGTGGGATCACTTTGCCTGACAAAAGGCAGGATCACGAGGGGAAGGGTGAATCTGTACCCACCATTACCACTGATCTTGTAAGAGAACATCTTAAGAGGCTGGACATCCACAAATCAGCTGACCCAGATGGAATGCACCCAAGAGTGCTAAAGGAACTAGGTGACATTATAGCACAGCCTATGACAATGATGTTTGAGAACTCATGGCACTCAGGTGAGGTGCCTGACTATCGGAAGAGGGCCAGTGTGGTGCTTATCTTCAAGAAAGGGAGAAGGGAAGATCCAGGGAACTGCAGGCCAATTAACTCAATCCCTGGAAAGATCCTGGAAAAATCATTAAGGAAACCATTGCCAACTAACAGAAGGTAATATTCTGAGAGAGAGTCAATACCGCTTCATGGCAGACAGATCTCATCTGCCCAAGCTGATCTCCTGACACATCACATGGAGAAAGGAGAAGAGGTAGATATCATATTCTTGGACTTCAAGAAAGCCTTTGACTTGGTATCCCATTATGTCCTCATGGAAGAAATGGGGAATTGTGGCCTAGACAATTTCATGGTCTGATGGCTGGTGAACTGGCTCCATGGATGGACCCAGAGAGTGATAGTTTATGGAACCAAATCAACTTGGCTCCCTGTAACCAGTGACGTCACCCAGGGCTCCGTTCTTGGACCTGTATTCTTCAAGGTGTTTATAAATGATCTGGACTTGGGTGTTACAAGCGGACTGACAAAGTTTGTTGATGACCCCTAACTATGGGGAAGTGCAGCCACCCCACGGTATAGGCTGGAGATCCTGGCCTACCTCAACAGGCTTACAAGGTAGGCAGATCAAAACCTGATGGTATTCAACACCAAGAAATACAAGGTGCTCCACCTTGGGAGAGAGAACCCACACCACACTTACAGGCTTGGCAGTGCTACGCTAGTTAACACTGTGTTTGAAAATTACTTGGTCATGATTGATCACAAGATGAACATGAGCCACCAATGTGATGCTGCAGCTGGCAAAGCAAGCAAAACTCTGGCCTGCATCTTCTGATGCATCTCAAACAAGACCCAGGAAGTCATTCTCCCACTTTGTTCGGCCTTGGTGAGACCACAGCTGGAATACTATGTCCAGTTTTGGGCTCCACAATTCAGAAAGAATGTGGAGGAGTTCAAGAACGTCCCCAGAGAGCCACACAAATGATTGGAGAACAAGAGACCAGGCCTTATGAGGAGAGGCTGAGGGATATGGCATTCTTCAGCCTGGAGAACTGTAGGGTCAGGGGTGCCTTGGTAAGCCTATAAGTATACAAGGGGTGTGCACCGGGAATAGGAGGACATCTATTCACCGGAGGACCCCACGGGAAGACTAGGTCCAACTGTCACAAACTCTTAGAAAACCGTTTTAGGGTTGACATAAGGAAAAACTTCTTTACCAGCCGAGTACTCAGGGCCTGGAATAAACTCCCACCAGAGATGGAGCAGAAACGCTTGGATGCCTATCTTGCTGGGATCATTTGACCCCTGCTGACTGTCTGCCCTTTGGGCAGGGGGTGGTCCCTTCTCGCCCTAACGTCTACAAAATCTATGCTGTAGCCCAGGGGTTAGGAACATTTTTGGGCAGAGTGCCAAAAACAGTCGCAACTTTGACTTGTAGGATGTTCGTTTGATGAAGTCAGAATAGATTTGTGTATGTGCTAAATGAATTAAAGGTACATAGTACGTATTTTTTACATGCAGTGAAACTTAAGGTCCCAAATCTCATATTCTTTTGACAAATTAAGGTATTTTTAAAATGTTGGTAGAGGAATCATTGGCAACTATGTTTCAAGACTTTCAACTTCTTACATATTGTACACGTTTTGCTGCTTTTTGCGTATCTTGCTTTTTAAAATGCCTTTATCTACTTTTAGATATTGTTTCTTTTCTTCATGTATGTTATATCTAAATACAGAAAACACTCCATGGAAAAATATAATCACAAAAAGCCCAGTGTTTAGATTTCCTGTAGTTCCTTTCAGTTTTTACTTAACTTTTTGAGGAATAATTCTGGTCTTGTTTTATGCTGAGGTGGATTTTATCTTGGGACAGACACACAAGCTACTTTTGTTTTATCTCTGTGGACAGATAAATGTATACAGTGTTACATACTGTTGATGGTGGTGATGTGTTATAAAAGCATTACTTTGCTTGGTAATAAGCATTTAAGTGTTAAAAGCTTTCTGACAACTTTGTGTGCGACTGGCAGTCCTTTAATTTAAATAGCTACAGATTTATTTTGAACAGGCATACATCTGCAATATTGAAGGTGCCTAATTGCATGAAGAAAAGCCTCAGATTTTATGTAAATTTAATTGCCTGTCACTTCCTGTAATATCTGGATTCAGTCCATTGGGAGATATACATGATGTTAGAATTGGTTTTTCAGACTGTTTTGTATACATTTATCACAGTGCTTGTTGAGTAGGAGCTGAAGCTAAAAATAACTAAATATATTTCTCTCTTTCTTGCTTCAGGATGACGTAGCTTTGCCAAGAACTTAGCAGCTAAGCAGAAAATGAGCTTAACATCCTGGTTTTTGGTGAGCAGCGGAGGCACTCGCCACAGGCTGCCACGGGAGATGATTTTTGTTGGAAGAGATGACTGTGAGCTGATGTTGCAGGTAATTGCATCAGCCTTCCATCTGCAACTGTTCAAAGTTTGGATTTAAAACACTATTTATAGTCCTTCTGAGAATTCTATTTGCCAGATGTTAAGTTTTTAATTCTCTGCATTTTCAGCTTTTGCCAACAATTTTAATCTAAACTAATCTTTCATATTCCTTATATAGGAAAAGTGAATTTGATTCTATTGCTGTTGAACAGATAATCATTGTTTAAAATTCAAGAGAAAGGTAGCTAGTGGTGTACTTCTGAAGTAAAAGAGAAGGCAGGGCAGGGTGGCACCTTAAAGCAGTGCTTCCCAAACTTTTCTTCAGCAAGACCCCATTTCTTCAGCATAACCTCATTTCCTCAGCTTCGTCCCTTACTCCCAACCATCAGCCCCCATCCTTCAGGTGCCCCTCCTGACTTGCAGCCCCCATCCCCCCAGCAGCCTCCTCTCTGGCCTGCCACCAGTGAGAAGCGGCAGCAGCTATGGCTGGAGTGGAGTGCAGACCCTGGCTCTTCTCCTCCCCCCCCATCCCCCCTCACCCCGGTGCTCTCCCCTGCAGGTGGCATGGCCAGAGTGGAGGCTGTGGGGGTTGGGGCAAGGATGTGGGCTGCCTGCTGCGGGCTCCAGTCTCCTTGCTCTGTGGCCCAGTGAGTAGGATCCGACATGGGAGAGAGTGCCATGGCATCATGGCCACCAAGCTGAGGCACACCCTGCCTGCCCAGCAACAGCGGGGGCACAGCTCTGCACCATTGCTGCACTTCACCTTGGCAGCCATGGCAGTGCAGTGCTCCCTCCTGTGCTGGGTCCTTCCCACTGGGGCTGTGGAGGTGATTCCTGTGGAGCTGGTCTGCACCCCACTGTGGGTGCAGAAATTGTGCGCCCCCCGCCCCCCAGCTGCATGTGCCTCCCCCACCAGCCCAGCCGCATTGCCTTTCTCCTTCAAAGGAAAAAATCCACGTTTTCCCACAGCAAATGGAAAACCTGGATTCCTGTTTATCACCACCCCATCTGTTGATGTTGCAACCCCATTTGGGATTGTGACCTACAGTTTAAGAATAGGTGACTTAAAAACACTCATTCAGAGAGAATGAGCTCTCATAGGCTGCAGCCTACTCTGTCAGATCCTGTCAGTGGACTGAGATTAAATTGTATTTCATATAAATACACACATTGAGAAGTAATGTATGACAAAGTAATTGAAATACAACTGTATATTACAATCAGGAGATTATTTGCATAATTTTGTTAAGTGTAGTAAGATAATTGTTGGAGAGGTCTTCCTGTCTATGTATTATATTATATTATATCCAATCTAACCATTATGTTTCACACAGTTCAGTATCTATGTATGTTGATGGGGTAATCCTTTCTTTGTATAAATGTCTTCAAAATTGTTATTAGTTTTTTTAATTATTTAAATTAGTGCCTAAAGCATGGGTTTATAAAAATGATATCCCCAGCTTTTTTTACTTTATCTCAAATCAGGTAAAAATGGAAATTTTAAATTAATGACATACTTTAGTAACTGTTAGAAAAAAACTATATTGACTATTAGACAAAAAATATAATAGAAAAGCTCTAAATTTGGCACAACAGGGAAATGGTGTAAGGAGAGAAAGTATTTACCTACCTTTAAAGATTTTGAATTATGAAAATAATGACTTCAATGGAAGTGCATTTTTTTTTGTTCTTACAAAATCTTGTATTGCATATGTTACTACTTAAGTGGCTTCTTTTCCTGGGCCTGATCCTGGGAACCTCTATGCATGGATTTAATGAGCACTTTCCTAACATCTCTTCTAGATTTATTTTATATTATTCAGTACAACAATTGTTTCTTAATTTTTCTACCCCATGACACAGAATCCATGTGGCCATTAATGATGACATCAAAACCTCTATTGCAAAACTAATTTTAAATTCTTTATGTGCATTTATTCCTGTGCAGTAGCATGAATGAGCCATGAAGCTCCCATTGGGTACACTAATGACAAGCATGTGTCTGGCTTTAGAGAAGATTATTGTAAAGAGGTGTAGTTTTCTGTGAGTGCATGCATTCAATTACTTAAAAGGTGAGGGAAGAGTAGGACGCATGCTAACAACTACATTTATAGTGTAATAGATTAACAAGCAATAGGTTGCAGTCTCTTCAGTATCCCTATGATGGACTACATTGCCATTTAATCTCATATAGTTGATGTAATAGATTTGATCTAGTATCTGAATGCAATTGTGGCTTGCACAGTAAAACCAAAATAATTCTAATAAATTTGGAAAAATAACTGGAAGTATTAGCAGAGATTATTATGGCACCCTAAGTTAGGGCACTCTTTCTTCCATTTGTAACAATATTTTATCATTTAGGGCACAGCTGTTCAACTGGCAGCATTTGAGGGGTTAATCTGCAGCCACCAGGCTCCCACTGGCCACTGCTTCTCCTATCACTCTGGGTGCTGCTGCGGCTTGGGTTTTTGGGCTTTCCCTTCCCCCTTTACCTTCTGCTTCCTGTGCCTGCCTTGGGGCACCAGGAAACAGCCTGCAGTGGTAGGGAAGCCCATGGTGCCATGCAGAGGAGGATCCCACAGCTGGACAGTTGATGTGGCAGGGGAGCCTTTTGCGGTGGTGGCCTAGGGGGACATATGGCTTACACTATTGCAGCCTGCACAGGGTGCAACCCCCAGCCACTTACAAGTTAGACAGCCCTGATTTAAGATGTATTGAATTTTTGGCTGTATTGAAAAAAGCTGTTGAATATTAGTGTTTCAGGCTTAAATTCCTATCTCCCCCTTCAAAGCAAAGGAAGAAATGTAACTATCTTGAATATGAACCTTGCTATAGTTGCATTTTGTTACTATGTGAGCTTGAATATTGTGATACATTCTGTATGGCTTTGCAACTTGGAACTATCAAGGAGGCAAAATTAGTGCATAATAAAATTATCTCATTTATCTCTTTTCGGATGCAGAATAGGCTGACGGTCATAATCCATGCTGGTGGTTGTTTCCTGAGGGAATTTATCCAAATTCAAAGCCTACATTAGTGGCCATCTCTTTGGTGCATAGCTTTCACATTTGTGCTCAGCATAGATATTTGTGAGAGAGATCCTGGTTCAGGTGGAAGGAGTTTCTAGAAGGTTTCACATGAGTTATCATCCAAGTCAGAGTATATGTTAGCTGCAGAATTTGTACAAGAAATAACAAGATATAAACAAACTAAGGTTTCTAAAATGAAATAATACAGAACAAAGTATGTAGGCTTGATGTTATGGATGTTTAAAAAATACTCACGTGGTTAGCCTGAAATCCATTTTTATTTAGGCAGGAAAATAAAATTTTTGACATTATTCTTAGTATCAAATAATCTGATACCTATAAAGAATCTAAAAAAAGGCTGTTAATTGAGATTGTTTTAATTTTTTTAAATGGCTAGTACTTTTGTGAAAAGCTGATTGTCTCTAAAATTATATATGGAAATGAGTAAAGAAAAAATTTTTAGAACGTTGTCATGAAAAGCTGTTGAAAACATGGAAATACCTGTAGTCATTATACCTATCTTAAAGGAGGCCAAGGACAATAAATGTTAAGTTGTCAAAATGGTTTTCCCTCTGGATTATAAATCCTTTACCACTCTCAATTGCTTCTTCAGTTTATGTTGCTCTGGCTTGTGAAAATGTTATGGTACCATGGTACAAGCTATTACTCCATATTCTATAATACTTTCATCCCTATATATCAGTTTTTCTCCTCAAAAATGCATGACAACAAAGAACCTGAGCCTGATGAAGGGACTTTGATCCTGAAAACTTTCAGAAAAGGACAGTTTTCTTGCCATTTTCCAGTTGGTCTAATAAAAGGTATCATTTTGGAACCAAGACTTCTAGTTTTTTGTAGGTCTTTTCATCTCGGACCAACACATCTACCAAGTACACCCCTGACAACAAAGAAGATTTTTTTAGCTGTTAAGTAACATTTTGCTTGGAAAGTGGGTGATGTTTAGGTTTTTTTCCTTATTTTTTTTAGAAACAGCACTGGCCTTCAGGTAATTTATCTGTATATGTCATTTAAAACTGTCTTGCAGTGCACCTCATAATAGGAAGTATCCCATATTTGTTCCCTGTAGCTACATCAAAAACAAAAATAAGGTTTTTGGACTTGCTAGAATGTTACCTATATTTTATTTCTAATTACTTGTATTAAAAATACCTGCGTATGTACCTTCATGTGGTGATGGTGAGTGATCACTGTAAATCTTAGTGATTAAAGAAAGTTGACGTTTTAATTCAACTGTATTAGAGAAATGGCTTCATTTGTAAATTTAAACAAATTATTCAGCAATACATGGATTGAGAATTTTTACTTTTATACAAGATGAGTAATAAAAGTGAAGCAGACTCGTTTGAGGTTTTGATTTCCCCACCCCATGTTAGCTCATAGAAAATCACCAAGTTACTGATTATGTTCAGCCTCTTATTAAGATGTTTTCAAAATCAGCTGTAGCCTGCGGAAGATCACACCTCTTTGAACAAGATAAGTCTGTAAGGTGCCACCCTGCCCTACCTTATGTCTTCTCTTGGTATGTATGCTGCTGTTTCTGCTAGTATCTCCACCTCTATTAACATCATATGGGAGACAGCAAAAAACTACATTAAGTTGCCATAACTCTTAGCTATTCAGCATTCATTCTGGTTGGCTGGCTACAAATCATCTTGATGACCGAACTAATAATTGCGTACGTTTGAAGTTTCCTCCTAGTGAAACTTCTTAACCAGTATGCTGTGGGCATGTCTACACGAGACACTGACTGCGCAGTAGTATTAGGCTTTTGCATAGTAGCATCACTTAAAAGGTGTTTCCCAGCGCTACTGTGCAGTAACTCCAGTTACTGCGCACTTTTTTAATACTTGTATAAGGACATACTAAGTAAATGCACAGTAACCAGAGTTGCTTATACAAGTACTAAATAAATGTGCAGCAGTGTCTCGTGTAGATGTGCCCCGAATCTGGCAAAATA